ACTTCTTTAGATTTCTTCCTTACCTCTCACCACCTCCCCTTCCTTTCTCTCAAATACCTGGCTCCGTGTGCCATCTTTGCTTCTTCCTGAAAGGCTGCGAGACACTGGTTGACTGTGAAACTGCTTCCCGGCCCGTGCCCCCATGACGGTGGGACCCCCGGGGCTTTGTTTGTTTGCTCTGATTTGTTCTGATTTGTTTGTTTTCTTTTTTTCTTGGCTTTGGAGCCCATTCTAGCAGTACCGCATGGTTTGGAAGCTACTCCCTTACTCTGCACAGATGCGCAGGGACATCCCCGGGGACATTTCTTTTTTCTTGTTTTTTTGGGTTTTTGTTTGTTTGTTTGTTTTTGTTTTCTTTGTTTTGTTTTCTTCTCTCTCTTATCTCTTTTCGTCTTTCTTCATTTCCAGTCTCTCGATTTATTCATTTTTTTTCTTTTACCCTTTCCTTTTTTTTTTATTTTTGTTTTTCCCCATTTCTCAGTCTCTCATCTCTCCACTCTAATAGCAAGCTCCCTTAGCACTCTTTTTTGTTTGTGTGTACGTTTTTGGCTCTTGTTCCTATGTCCTCTCTCTCATCTTTCCCATACCCATCTTAGCTCCACACATCACAATCTACCCCCTCCTTCCTCCCTACCTGCACCATGCGCTGAACATCACACTCCCAAGCAGCACAGGCACAGCCTACTGGAACCTGCCCTGCACTGATTCCCAGTCCACACTGTCAGCGCTGGCACGTGCCACAAACAACCCATCCCAGCAACTTCCCTTCAGCTAGACCTTCCCAGCTGTACCATACCTGAGTGACTGACCCTGCCCACTGGAGAAGGAGGTGAAAAGTACCATGCCCACAGATGAACAAACAACAAAGAACACACAGCCCGCCTGCTCAGACATAACCAAATTAAACAAAAAAGCAGCATGAAACAAACAAATCTACAATCAATAAATGAGGAAAATAACCACTGAATGCCCCGAAAATAGCAGACAATATCAAAACATTTACAAAAACAGGACAGGATGGTTCCACTAGGTGTCCGAAATAAAACACCAGATGACCTTCCAGTAGAAGAAAAGGCACTTGACCTAAATGATAGAGAATTAAAATCTCTAATATTCAGAATTATCCGAGAGTTGAAGATAAAGCAGACAAGCATGAGGAAAATATAGACAAATTCATGGAAAATACAGAGACAAAAATGGAAGAATTCAAGAAAATAATACAGGAACAAAATGCTAAAATAAACTCACAACTAGAAATCATACAAAAACAACAATTAGAAATCCAAAAGATAAACAACAAGATTTCAGAAATGGACAGTG